GTCTCTGTGTGGGGCTCTTTCTACGTCCCTGATAAGATTATGACAGTCTTAGACCCTATAGTAAGGAGAAACTAAACTTTCAATACTACCTAATTACAATAAATGTAAAAATAAGATTTTAAACATAAGGGGTGCAAAATGCTCACCGGCTACTTCTGTCCATATTATCCTTAATTACTACTTAATTATTATTAAATAATTTAACTGTTTGTTCTAAAATTTGCATCAAGTTGTTTATACATAAGTGCAATAAGTCTGACAGAAAAGTATTACGGCAAATTCCTATACATAACACAGACAGAAATGATCTTAAAGTTTAATTTTGATCTTAGTGTCTCCGTTCCTTTCAAGGACCTGCACATTTGATAAAATTATTCAAAATTTTACATTAAAGATGTAAAATGGTTTAATCAAAATTATCTACATTTTTATCGAGTTCAGTAAACGAACAATCTAGTTTTCATTTGCGTTCATTGGTTTTACCCACACGTGACGTTGTAAACGTCACAAATTTTACAGTTATTATTTGACTTCAGCAAAAATTCGGTGAAGGCTAAATGCCCTTATTATTTTTAATAGCTCACAGGCCCAGAACATCTCGATTATACTATGATAGGTCTCTGTAAAATATGGTAATTTCAAATTTATAAAGTAGCTTCTACTAACTACTTAGTAATTAATACCAAAAAAAGGGAATATTTTCCTGATTCGAAATACTACTGTTTTGGCTCTTCAAGTCCCCTTTCATTTACCTAATTACGGATGTTAACATGCTATACTGAACGTTATTTATGTTGTTATCTCGATTTATCAAAGTACTTGTTTTGTTTTAAATTTAAGCTTTTTAATAAAAATACTCAAATGGGCCCCCAAATGATTCAGCTACTCAGGAAATATTCTTTTTCTACCATAGGAAGTGCTGTTTCTAAAGTTAGTTAATTACTAATGATGATTGAACGTTGCAGTCCAACATGCTACCTACTGTCCATGCAAATCATCCGGAAAATCCAAATTTATCCTTTGTTGTTTGTTATAGAGGCTGAGATATTGTAAAAATCTAGCAAGAGTTGTCAAGAGACACTGTATAGAAGGTCTGTTGAACCAGAAGTAACTGGTGAGCCTTTTTCACCCTCATTTTTGAAAGCCTCTCATTACCGCACATAGTAATCTTGAAAATTCTTTGTTGTAGGGGCTGAGATTATAAAAATCTAATAGGAGTTGTTGGGACAACATATAGAAGGTGTGTACTGTCACAAGTGGTCGGTGATCCCCATTTTTAAATTCCTTTAATTACCGCACTTAATAATCTTGTAAATCCAAGTTTTTCCTTTACTGTAGGGACCGAGACCACAAGTAATTAATTAGCGTTTTTTGTCCCTAATTTTTAAATGTTTTTTTTGGCCTATGTTATGTTCATACCTAAATATGCATTTGTATCAAGCATATATTAATTAAAACCAATGTTTTTATAAAAAATAGAAATGTGTATGAAATATTGCATAATCCATTAACCGATAACTTTTTAACAATAGAAACGTTTCTCATCGTGCTCCTATCTATCAGTGGTTAAAATCATGATCCTTTTGCTTGCATAATCTATGACAATATCAACTGGGTCACTATTCCAGTTAATAATACCATTAAATGGAAGTCCTGTATTTATTATTCTAGTTAATCTAACATCAAAAAAATACATTAAAAATATGTAAAATGTAATCCATTATCATAGGTACTTAAATAAATTGAAGGAATCATGTAACTGTACCCATTGATAAGCACTTGAGCAGCAGGAGAATTATGAGAGCTCCTGCGGCACTAGTACTTAGTAACAGGACAGTAGATAATACGCAACACTTCTCATCCCATTAGCATCCCAAAAAATATCTGTAAAGAGAATATTTATTTTTTAAATATATGGAATACACTAAGAAATTTTTACATTTAAATTTAAGTATTAATGTGAAATTAATTATTTTTCCTCAACTTGAGGTAATCTGTAGTGGGAAAGAAATTAAAAATTCATTTCACATTAATGTTTAAAATTTAGGTGAATGCGTATTTACTTATGTATATCTAAAACCTTATTTTATTTAGTAAAGACAAACGGAATAAAGTAATCAAAGGATATTTCTAGAATAAAAGAGCTTTTTTCTTTCTCTTTTTACTGTGAATTACCTAACAAAACACTTACTCTTAATTCATGTCTTAGTTAACCGTTGCGAATAGAAAATTAACTTTAATTATTACCTGTAATAACTTTAGGCAGTTCAATGATTGCAAAGATTAAGCAAACTAGAGGTCAAATGATATGACCCTTTTTGAAATTAATATATGTTAGGTACCTACTTATATTGTATATTAGGCATGAATATGTCAAGAGTTGCACTCGCTTAGGAAATACAGTTAACTTAGAACAATTACTGTTCAGGGTGAATAATGTTTTTTCTACTAATTTAAGAGACGGTTGACGTACAGTATGTATTTTATATTAATGTAGGAATATTAACGTAATTTGTGTATATCTACCTACATATAAGAATAATACTGCTCATCAATTTTCATTTGATTTCTTTTTGGTACCAAATAACGACAAAAATCCATTACTGTGTACATGATTGAGAAAAAAAATTAATTTAGTAGATTTATCAACAAACAATAAATAATTTAATGTTATCCTATACAAAACAAACCCTTAAAATACTTAATAATTAATGGACGACAACTTTAATTTTCCCACTCACGGACATTGTGTAAGTAGATATTTATGCTTATTAATATTCACGACAACTGATAAAACTTACTTTTCCAACATCATTTAATCACAAGTAAGTATGAATATACATACATATGTACCTAAAGCACGACGCACATCACACAGCTAGAACTATCTGCTAAGTAAACATATTTTCTTCTGATGAGGGGTCATTATTGTAATCTCGAGTCAAAGATCACGAGATAAATTTCAGTAAAAGTCAACCGAATTTATAATTGCACAGAATAAGAAAGAAAAGTAACAGTAGGTGCCCACTTAATGCGTGTGAATTTTACTCTCAAACATTAAAGAAGTTTGCGAAAACCGTTTATGTGAAATGATTTTTGTCGCTTTAAATTAATAAAATACTCAGTCAATACAATATTTTTAAAGCTTTATTAGTTTAATGAGAATTTTATTTTATTTAGCAATTTAACAGAAACGAACAGAAAAAATATAAATATATTTTGAAAATTTTACTGGTACGGATGTACTTATGTAAATGTTTATACTAGAATGATGGTGAATGCATGTAAAATAATTATTTATCCGAGTGATAAAATGTACGAAATCGATCATATTAGTAAAGTTATAACGCACCGTTCGCTGGCAAACGAAAAAGCACTATTTTGTTTGTTCACAAAAAAAAGGATTAACGTACCTCTGCACAAAAAAAATAGTAGTCAGCATTGAAAACTTTTGACTGCTGCCTTAATACACGTTCAACATGTGGCACAAACTGCCCTTTAATGAATCTCAATTGAGTTTATATGTGAAGCCCACATCCTAGTGCTAATTCAAGTTAAATTAAGAGATTATTTCCTCTTAACATGTTATTATTCCATTGTGTGTAAGTTATGTGTTTGCAGCTAGCGTCTACCCTACTATAACAACATGCTTTTCTAAATAAATCGGAATTATTCCTTTATTATTCACATTACTGCCGTTACGAGAAAAAAATACTATTTAACAAATAAAGTACTAAATATCATATCCCTTATTTACCACACATTTTAACAATAACGAAACATAATAAACTAATCGTAAAAAAAATTTTGTTTCATTCTTATTTATCATTTATTTACCGCATAACAGGTATATCGCTCGAATGCTTCTAATCAGAATAGACAAACTTATCAAGAAACATCTTATTGTTAAACATACGAACCGATGCCTGATAAACTATGCTATTTTAAAAAATAAAGAAACATTCATTAATAAATACATGCCACACGGTCTAAACACATACGAATAAAGCCAATTCGCGATTTTTCTTTGGCGCAAACATAACTTTCTTATTACACATCAATCAGTAAAGCAATTTTTACACAAGAATACTTGGAGGTATTAGAATGAGACCAATTTATTACATTATTAACTTGATTGTATTTTAAGTGGCACCTTGAATATAGATTTATATAATATAGTACATATAGTGCATGTTGTACATTAGGTACATCTGACAATGAATGTAATAGCTACTTATGTATATATATATATATAATGTGAATTTATTCTATTGAAAGAGACAAAGGCATACACGATCCAATTGATAAAAACCAATTATACATTTCTACATAAACTAAACTGGTACGTATGTTTGTATATGTAGTCATATAAAGAGGAAGTAACCAGTAACTATACATATTGTAGAATACTATCACAATTTGGCAGGTACATGTACTATTATGCATATTGTGTATTGTCAAATTTTAAAAAAGTATAATTTATTAATGAATGTGTCTGAAACAAGAAAGGTCAGTTGACAACATTTAATGCATTTGTGAGTGGCGAGATGTTCACTTGTTTCTGTTTTACGTCATACCACACAGTCGTCATATAAATGTCAGAGTTTTGAATTTTAAACCTTGCGACAGTAGAATTAATAATTAATTAAATAAAAACACTGTCATTTCATGGAACATATTTACCTCACTAATTATATATATAATAGTTAAAACGTTTCATCAAGCGCCGAACAACCAATCCATTTCAAAAAAACTTGTTTACTGTAGAAAATTTTTTATTAAAGTCCGATTGTCAATGTTAAACGAAGCGATAATATAAAATATAACTAAGAAAATAAATCTGCGTGTAGTATTAATACATGAAAGCTAAAATGAGAGACAGAGAAAGGCAAAATAAGTACAACTGTTGAAATGTATGTAGAAAGAGGAAGGCTGAGGACTGGAACGATTTCTATTTTTAAATTATGGCAACAAAAAAAAAAAACAACTTTTTTACTGTCTTACTTACAGAGCACAAGTCGAAGTAAAGTTTGTGAGTGATTTTTTCATTTTATATCGTATTTAATATCTCACGATCAGATCTAAGATATATCGCTGGTTCATCGCCAGTTTTAAAACCGGTAAATTACAGTATGATATAATTAGATATTCATATCGATCATTTACTTATTGCGCTAAATTGATCGTATTTCTTTTCTCCTTCGTATATCAACGTGACATGCTGATCAAATAGACGATAGACAATATCAAAACGGCTTGTATGATGCCAAATATTAAGTAAATCTAAAGAACGAGCTCTTTTCTTTCGAATTCTCCTTCATTTTCTTTAAAATTCCTCCAGTTGCCTCAGATGAATAAATCTCGATTCTTTGGTCGAATATGTGAAAGCTGTTTTGATTTTTCAGAACAGTTTCGATAAACGTGCAAAACATGGTTGTTTCAGAGAACCACGTTAAAAAGCTACGGACTCCTCTGCCTCTGATCTTACCGCTTTCGATAAAACACGTTTTCTGCAACAAATATGTGCAGTGCAATAAATAAACAAGACTACAAATAAAATATCTTTTGTACCTTAAATTCTCCGTCGACGATGTGTTGCTTGTAGTGTCCGCAACTTTTAATGAAAACGCGCAAGAATGCATCACTTAAAAGTACATTGTGGGCGCTTTGGTGAGATGGTACACTTTTAGCCAAAGAAAGACCATCTTTCCAAATTTCAAACAACGTCCATCTTAAAATTTTGTCTTCGTCTCCGACTTTCAGTAATACCGAACCTTCGTCTAAATCAACGACCATCCCCTAAAAGAACAAAGGCAATAGTTGCTTACATTTTTAAACAGACCTTGTCTGACAACCGTACGTTTTCAATTTTATATAAATTTACAACTTGTTTCGATAATACGCCACAAAGCAGTGGCGTTGGGGCTTCTAAAATTTCCCAAAGACACTGAGGCAGTACAGGAATCAAAGTATGAGGCCATTCGAAAGGATATAAAGCTATCTGCAAAGCCTCTACACAAGCCGAAATTTTACTGAAAAATAATTCATATTAGCAAACGTACCACAATTATTTATTATTTATGTATGTGCATCAGTTACCTTAAAACTTTACTAACAATAACGACTTTCCTTTCCAACAACAACGAACTGAAAACTTGATGTAAAATCCCCATTGAAAGGGAGTTGCACAGCATCTGCAAATTGTTGTCTTCATGACGAGTGTCTGAATGCCTAAACAAAACCAATTCAAACGGAAAACAGTCGGTAGACTCCTCGAATATCAAATTTGGAGAACTGCACGACTTTTGGAGATCTCCTGCGTTACTCTCTTAAAGAAAACATTGAAAAATATTTTGTCAATATAACATGAAATACCTTTTTTTAATAAATAAATAAAAAAAATTAATTGTATTAAATTTGTAACCAGATTTTCAGTTTAGAGGGGATATTGTACTTTACACTCACCTATTTTATTCGACATTTTCTTTCCATTTTCACTGATAATTTTTGTTATTGTGGCATATTCTCCTAAACGATCAACTGCCGTACAAAAACTTAAATCTAATGGATGATTCACATCCGCATTCTTTTTACCTGTTTCACTACACGTAACCGTCCTTTGTATACTAACTTTGATCGTTTCGCCTGGTTTCGGAAACCGGCTGTTGTACAATTCGTTCAACAAGTTACTTTTAAATTTTTCTGAGAAACCGTGCCGAGATTCGAGCTCCTGTAAAATTTTCTTATAAAAACCGGGCGCACAATGAGGACTGACAATGCAATAGACCAAAGGCAAACACGTGTTGGAACCTTCGGGCAAAACTCTTCGACAATAACCGTAAGTTCGTTCCCCACTTGCATTAGTTATCACCAACGAATAACACTGCGCCGCTTCACTTAAGTCCATCGATTCGAACTGGGCGTCAGGGAAACACAATTCTTCAATTTTATGTGGCATTTCAATCTAATACAAACAAATAATAATATAAATCGCAGTGTATCAGAAAAAAATTCAAGGTATACAATAGGAACATTGGTAGAAAGTAAAAAGTTTTTTCTTTTACTTACGTTATCAGGATATTTACATTTTATGTAGGGTATCTTTCCGTTAAGTCCAATAAGAAGAAAGCAATCAAAAAGATGTTTAAACTTGTCTTTTTGAATCGAGGACTTTGCGTACACTTTACTTCGGACTCGTTTGACGTATATTTCAAATTTTTTAGTAATTTGTGCAACACTTTCCCGTTTGTTTCTAGACGAATGTGATGACGGGTTCTTATGATTCTGGTCATTCTTCAACTTCTTTTCCAATACTTCTGGGGGATGTTTCATTTTGTGCGAGTTAATATTCGAGTCAGTAATTTTCTTTTTACTTTTACTGGTGATTTTTATTCCTTTCGAAACATATTTGGGAGAAGTTTCGAACACGCTAATAATATCTTTGACTTTTCTCAATTCGTATAAAGTTCCATTTTCCTCAGATAGTGAAGAAATCGTTGACTCCATGTCTGACGTACAAGAAGATGATGAAACATGTGTTGCATCGAATGTGCCAGCATTTCCCTACAAAATTAACTAGGTAAAGTAACATAAATAATAATCCTAACACGTCAAACAACAAAAGAAGAGCATCTGTCACGTTAAAATTTCAAATATAGTATGCTTTTGACAATCATTCACATTGTAACATACAAATTATAATTAATTCCCGATGGAAAGACTTTTATGTTTATTGTTCATATTTACCTACTGTTCAAATAACAAAAGAAAATACCAAATCACTTACCTCCTTATTGGTGCAGAGATCTAATTGGGCTAGTTTCATAGACACATCTTTACTATTGAACTTATTTTGACTTTTATCAGGTATAGGGCAGCTCTGAGGTATAATACAAAAAAAGTATTTAGTAACACGAAACAAACTATTTACTTAAATTATCAGGAGTGTTTTATATATTAGCAATTTCCTATGCTGAAGTGTACTATGTGTTGCATACCTATTTACACACAATTCCTTTAAATTTAATTTTTCAAACAATTTTTAACACAAGAAAGTGATAAAACAAATTGTTCACAAAAGTGAATTTCGACCACTCGAAACAATGCTGCTAACAGTTTCGAGCTCACGGTGACTGATAGAGGGGAAGAACTAATATTCTAAGAAAAAAAACATAATTTGCTTATAAGTGTAACAACTACTCAACTCAAACATTTGACTATCACACAATAAATAAGAAATGAAAAATGCATATCTTAAGGCCCTAACAAACACTTACTGCATAATGTACACTATCCCTGACATTGACTAAACTTTTTGCTTGTAACATTTTTCTCTGCAGCTCCTCTTTTTTAATTTTTTTTATTTTTCCATCACTGGTACATCTTCGAAATTCAAAGGGTTCAGCATACAAAGGTTCTTCATTTTCATAGCTAATAAAAGAACTTTCTTTAATTGTCTTGTACTCAACACTTGTACATCCAAAAGAGTTCAAGCAGTTAAAATTAAATTTCTGTTTACAGGTGGGACTATTCAATAGATTAGTTTTTAAGTTATCATTGTTATTTTTAAATAAAGCAGCTTGGGCATCCACTGCATTATGCATATTATGAAATTTATCAAAATTGAGCTCTGCTGCTTGACACTGTTCTATATGTCTTTTTATACAGATATTACTTTTTAAAGCTTTTTCTAATTTTTCAAGCATGTATATTGGATCAGTACGATTTTGTTGGCTGAGTGGAGGAAAGTCAACATTTTGCTTTTGTAAATCCAAATTTAACCTTTTGTTAAAAGTTTTATATCTGTTCAAAACAAAACCATTCCCTTCTAAATTATTTTGCAAATCACAATCCTTATTTGGTAAATGAATAAAAGTTCTTGGGGGTTTTCTAGGAGCTGGACCAGACGGTAATGGCCTGTTTAAAGCACTCTTTAATGTATCAGTTAATGTGTCTTTAATAATTCTACCATTTTCCTTATCATAACCACTGTTTTTATTATTAATTATATTTTCTGTATTTTTATTTTCTTCACAATTCTGTTCTTCTCTGTGCAATAAATTAACGCTATGTAAATTATTTTCCCAAATACTTGCGTCATTATTGGTATTAAAATGTATCCCACACTTGTTAGACCTTAGGTGTTTTCTTATTGGTTCTGTATATAAAGCTTGTAACTTGCTCAAATGTTTGCTTCCAATTTTACTTTCATTATCACCAAGAAACTCTTGTGTTCTGTTTAATGAAGAAGGTAGCAAGTTTAATTCACCAGAGCATTTATCAATAACTTCTTCTCTACTGAAGCTCTTCTTAACATCAGCAGTTAATGCTGTATTTTGAAAAGAATAATTTTCAAAGGATTGTTTACTACTGATCAGCTTCTCATTACAAGATTCTTTTAGTTGTATTTCTATCAAGCTATTTTTCTTATCTAGATATCGTGATCTATTCTTTATTAATCTGGCATCTTTTTCATCTGTAGGTTGACTATCCAGTCTAAAAGCTGGGCTGCGTTTCACATTTTTTTTTCCAGGATCACTAAGCTGTCTTGACAAATTAAAAAGTGGATGTTGAGCCAATTCACTTTTAGATAAATTTTCCTTAACAAATTTGTGTGGAACAGTAATGTTGCTATCTTTTACAGTCCTACTGGTAGCTGTCTTACATTGTCTACAATCATCCTCAAATTTATCCTTAATTGCCTTTACTCTATTAAAGTTTTCTGGAGGTTTATACATTACGTTTAATTTTTAACCATTTTTTAAGTTATATATATAATGTAAATTGAAATTGCAAATGGTAACGAGAATTACTTTTTGATGAAAACATGGTAAATGTATTTTTTTTATGTTATTAAAAACTAAATAGATAGCCCAATAAAAAACTTTTTCAGCTGTTGAAGATAGAAAAGTGCTGCAAAGCAGAAAGCCAAATTGTTAGTTTAATCTGCAAGAAATTAACTTTAGAACTTTGACTGTTAGCTAAAGTAAAAACTTACGTTATTACAAAGTTAAAACTGAATCGCTTACTTGACTTGACCGAATGTTATAGGAAAAACACTAATTACTAATTATTTAATTAAAAAAATTTAAATATTTTATTACGTTTACACCGATGCAAGTTTACAACTAAAATTACTTGGTTGGTTGACATCATATTGACATTTAATTTGGAAGCTGTCATAATAAACTGTCACCCACAGACAAACTGTCACCTCACATACCATAAATAAGAGATATACAGCGGATCATAGATAAGGCTGCAGTACATATGCTATAGATCGTCGGAAATGTAGTGACTATATAACGGGTACGTTATTCTATAAGAAAAATTATTATTTAGTTATTTATTAATACTTAGGTACGAAAAGTAACTTCATACAAACATTATTTTTTATTTCAAATGTAATAGAATGACGAAGTTCATATGTTATAATTTTTTTTTATTGTTGCTCTCTACTAATTTCAAAGGGAAAAAGATTAGACCCCATATCTATGTTAAACATCTATAAACACTGTGCTGTGATAAACCGAGTCAAACATATAAACTACGTAAATATGGCGGATTCACAGCTGGGTATGTTTTTGTTTTTATAATTTACATTGAATAAGTCATTAATAATAATAACTTTCAACGTTTACTCTGAAACTTTATATTGCTCCTGGTAGTTTTTATATGCATTAATAATACGTTTGATATTGCTATCATACCATTTTTGCGTATGTAGACTATGATTACCATTTCTTCCTATATTATTTTTATGTTTATCCAATTCTTTTTAGGTAGTACTAATTCTTCTAAAACCATGAAAATTGATAAATCATCTGATATTGACGAAGGTAAATTACAACATGGCTTATTTTCTAATGTAAATTGGTAATTTATTATTCAAGGGAGCAATGAAAACAAGAAGATAGAAGAAAAGGTATTTGAAATAAGTTCATCACAAGTATGCGCGCCGTTTTCGAAACCAATACTAGCTGGATCAAAACTTGCTGCTGTAACAAATAATTTCTTACCAAATCCAGGATCAGTATTAAAACCTTCTTTTATGGCCAGTGGCAGTGGTAATAATTTGTTAAATAAATCAGCTTTTGCTTTAAATCCGAGTAAATTGAATCCATTTGCTAAAGTGCCGACTGAAGATGATACATGTAATAAGAGTTCTGGAAGAAATGAAGAAGGAGAAAATGATAAAGTAATTAATGGCAGTGCTGCTAAATTTATTCCATTACAAAGAAATAAAAATAAACAGTTACAAGGTGGGTATGTTTGTAAATAACAGTAATATATGTGCACAATTGAATTGTTACAAAGTTTTTTATAACTGTTTGGCTTAATACTAGGTAATGACATAGCCATAGTCTTATTCCAGTTTCAGAATGTGAAAATGATACTTCGGTTGTTAGTTCTACAACTTCAAATTCTCAAACAGGATTAACAGGAACAAACAATTTTGTTTTTGGCCAAAATATCAAAGATAGAGTTGTTACTGATGACAAGGATATTGAACCAGAGCCTTCATCTAGTGAAAGCAGTACCAGTAATGGTATTTCCGATATGTTGTTCACATATGCACTAAAAGGAAATTTAACAACACATGAAAATAAAGGAAACAATCCAGATAGGAAACAAACTAAATCTCTTAGCGAATCTGCTCGTGAATATGAAGAAGCAAGGGCTATAAAACGTAAATATGAAGAAGTAGAAGTAAAAACTGGTGAAGAAGGTGAAACAAACGTTGTACAAATAAGTTGCAAACTTTTTGCATATGATAAAAGCACAGGCGGTAGTTGGCAAGAGCGAGGCCGTGGAACTTTAAGACTAAACGATCAGGAAAGTGGGAAAGAAATAAAAAGTCGTCTGGTATTCAGAACAAGTGGAAGCCTCCGGGTTGTACTTAATACAAAGGTAACAATTTAAAGATAATTTTTGTTTGTTAATCGTCCTCAATAAGTTGTAAGTATTTCTATTTATCAATAAATAGGTCATTTAGAGATATCGACGATATATCATTTCTATATAAAATCATAAACAACAGATTTTCTGTGATTGACCTAACTAATAGGATTGAATTTTATATCACTCATAGAGAGTGCCTAACATGTTATGACACCGAAACATTTATATCTCAACCACAAATCTATTCTAGACAGATCCTGTTGGTTGCTCAATTGTACTTTTACAGAGATTCTTTTTATCATTTAATTTCTTCCAATTTGAGAATGTACTTAAAAATAAATCTTCAAACCTCTATTAGCCTACACCACATTTCGTTATCCGCAGATTTTCAATTCTTTATTAGTTTAATAATTAGATTTATACCTAGTTTTGAGATTGAGCATCTCTCTTTACCTACCTATTAATTTAGTATAAGTTTATAAGTTTATATCTAACTGTTTCAGATATGGTCAGATATGAATATACAGCAAGCTAGTGAGAAAAGTATACGTTTAACTGCATTTGACAACGGAAATATTCGTGTTTTTCTTGTTATGGTTAGTAACACTACTGTTAAAATGTTTTTTTTTTCTTGTTTGTTTTCTTCTGATGAGTAAATTTTAGGGCAATCAGGAAGATATAAGACAGCTTTATAGACACTTAGAATTAAGAATAAAAAGGGAAAACGACAACCAACATAACGACGAACAAAAGACGTCATCTCAAGAATGCTCCAGTTTAGAGTCAAATCCCAAAAAGATTGCAGTTGATTCCGGAGGTAATTGATTTGTATTTGTTATTTTTTTTAGTAAATTGGATTAATAAATATCTATCTTTAAAAGTCACCTGCATTCACTGCATAAAATCGTAATTTTTGTACAGTTTGATTGTACAATCCCATCGTGCGTAATAAATGAAATTTTTACTTTTTTCAAATTTTAAAAAGAATAATTTATTTTATTTTGTGGTTAATTATAACAACCTAGGGTGGGGTTTAAAAAAAATTTTTTCAGTCATTCTGATTGAAAATTTCAGTTCACTAACATGTACTACAACAAATGCTGTTACTATAATGCATTAGCTGCTAAGATTAAATTCTGTAAGACGAATTTCTGTTGTGATTTTATATGATTCAAAAGTACATAATTAATTATATATTAATTTTTTTTTTCTTCTAAAATACTGTTCGGTTATTCACGATATGTTTTCTGGTCCTATGGGTAATATCTATTGAAAATGTAGTTGTTGTGAAGTATCATTATTGTATTTCATAATAATTCATCAGAACAGCAAACTTATTACAAGATAAACCATGTACAGACACATTCTGATAAAAAATAAAAAAGGATAAAAAAGCAAAATTCCATTCCCAAGAAATTAAATCTTGGTTATTTTTAAATAATAACGGAGATGAAAATTAAATTAATATGATTGACCACAGTTACCACTAAACGTTTAATACGATGTAGTTCAATTTTAATGTAAATTGATATTTAAAACTTTAAATTCTTTATCGCTCAACATTCTCCACTTATTTCCTATAATCCGAGAGACTTCCTTTTCAACCAATTCGTAATTTCTACTGTTAATCTTAAGCCATTCGTAAAAATCGTCGGACCATTCTGAATTTTTAGGCCAGTCACATCTCTTTATCACCGCATTTCTTCTAATGAACAAATTGTGAATATTTTTTGTAGTTTGTGCGATTAATAGTATCGTACACGTAGATATTCTTTCCGTAACCACCTAAAAAGGGTACGTTTTACATGAATATGTATATATGGCCATTAAGAAAAAAGCACAGCACATAATAAATGTATACTTACCAACGTTTGTAAATGAAGACATTCTCCACATAATAATAGTAATAATCCGTCAATACGTTCGTGAAATGATTTGGGTTGATAAAAACGCGGCACATTTTTGTGTCCAAATACTCTTAAATCCTTTTTATAAAACTCAATCGCATTCATTACAACATCGCTATGTAACTAAAATCGACTACTGTATAGTTTTCGAATAAAAACTATTACTTGTGTTCACACAATTAGTTATACCTATTAATACATTATCTTATCGCTAACAGCCCTGATCGTTTGAAAATTTCAAGAGAATGAGAGTGACTTTTAACAAGGAAAAACTACTATTACGTTCTACTTTATCATTCAGTATGATCGCCTTAAAAAATGGTACGAAGTACTAAATGTGTGTCTTTGATTGCCAATTTTACTTACTCCTGTTTGGGGCGAATCAAACAAAACAGATCGAACAGGAGCGCCTTCTTGCCACACCGGACACTTCTTCTTATTACTTATTACTTCTAAATGAACACACAATTTTGAGTTGTTCTTCCTACACACTTTCCAAATTTTCGGTGACACACCAATTACAGGTGAGTCACTGGGAGTATACTGATTTTGTAATATATGCAAGTGTCTTAAATTTGTGTAGCCTATCAACTCGACCATGTCTTCACCCAAATTTTGTGGACTTATTTTTAGAACCTAATAAACGAATCACTTATAATATAAACATAATTAATTTTATTAGTTATTTCTTCACATATTATTATCACCTGTAAATTTAGTAACACACCAACATGTAATATTTGACAAGGGACCCTTGTGGTGTTAATGAGTGACAAATATTTGAGAGTAAAACCGACCGAATCGCACACTTCGTCCAGTAAGTGTTGCGCTTCTTCTGGATGCAACATTAAGTCGATTAATTCCAACCTTACCAATTTCTTTAAATTACCCATTAGACGTTTCAACGCCGCTAAAAGTTTACCACCAGTTCCAAACAACCGTATTCTCTCTGTTTCCTCTCGACTGGACATATCGCATGGAAATGTAAATTTTAAACTTCTGATATTGCAGCCAATACCCATATCTTCTTCTTGTTTGTGGTAAGCTTGTTCTATGTACCACGAGACCATATTCATAAACTCATACAAGTTGTAAAAGTTGAGCATCGGTTCGAACGTTAGATGTCTAAAGCTTTTTCCGACGCATGTGAGACATAACTGGGTGCGAAGATGATCTAGGACATACTGAAATAAGGGCTTAGATTATTTTGATCCTATTATGATAAATTAAACTATGGATTTGTTTTACCTGCCATCCCGAATAGTAATTAAACCTTCCTCGAGTAAGTGTGGAATCGGCCAGAATAAAATGTGACCACACGTACTGAAGATAGAACGCTCTATGCCAATTTTTACACACCAAACTGGCGTAATATTTTTGCCGCATCGTTAAATAAGAAAATATTCTTTCCAAAACCAAATCCGGTAACTCGGACCATCTTGAATATATTTTATTATAATCGTCTACTTTTTCTTCATCATCAATGTCGATGTAGACAGCTGAAACAATTACCTTTTAATTCTCCAACATATGTCTATAAATGCGCAAATCGTTATAATAAAGCAGAATTATTACAAGAGAAAGATAAAAAGTCAAAAAAATTAAAAAAAATATGCATGTTGATCGACGAAGAACAATGTCGTTTTTTTCCTTTAATAATGATGTGGGATAACACTAAATGAATCGATTGATGGAATGTTTTATCTACTAATTAATTTATTTATGCGAATGTAGTTGAACAGCTAATTTCACATAAATTTCCTATAATACTTATATAATAATTAGCCGTTTCAAAAGGCTTTTAATAAGACCCAAGTCCCAAAATATATTAGGTCTTTTTTAGGTTCACGTCTGTTTCAGTGGATGTTCTGGATTTTTGCTCTAAAAAATAAATTGTCTTTGTTAAAACTGGTATACGAAAATGCAAGAAAGACGACAATCGTGTAACCTCATGTTAAAAATAATTTGGTCTATAAAAACGTACCTTGAGTATAAAGACGAAAAAATTGTGTTGGCAACTAGAAAAGTTAGGTCATAATTAATAACATTCACGAACGATTTCGATTATGTATTAGAATGAGTGAGAACGACGGATGATACTAAATTTTTGTATTAAAGTGTAAAGTAATTTGAATGAATAATTTAGCAAAATTATAATAACGACGGATGCTTTTTGTAGAACAAAAGATATTCTAGATGAGAATAGAGGATACATTTATATAAGTTGTTATTATATATTAAGCTAAAATAAAACGTAAAAAAAGACAATATTGATGGTAAAACAAATTGGCAAGTAATTAAATCTTCATTAAAATATTTTAGTTTATACCTTTATCTCCTGCTTCGCGAGACTTATACAATTCTGCCCACAATGTAGTAGAAAAATGATGCTTTCGGTCGCCCACCTACATAATTGTAATAAAAAGCTGTCTGTGTGAAATGCCGTTAAGAAAACAAATTTACTAATTAAGAGTTCTTTTTTTTCCTATAATAAAATGAAACGCAGTTTTGCTATTTTGACTTAATTTCATAAATCATAATAGAGAAATATTGTAAACTGAATTTAAGTTTTTCAACAAAGAACACACTAGTAAATCAAATCGGCATCTCGCTAAATACACAAAGTTAAAAATAGTTACACAATTAATCTCCATGTGTTAACAAATGTAAAAATAATTAATTAATGGGTTAAATGATACATGTGATACCTTCGTCATTTTCACCAACCTTCCAACTTCCTTTCTGCATTTTTAATAACTAGGAAAACAAAATTTTTATGATCTTACATAAGGTTTTCTCTAATTTTTGGACAAATGCCAAAAATAAATTTGATCTATAAAAAGATTGTTTACGGTATTACGTACAAAAATTCCTATATACGTTTAAAAAAATCCATTAAAAAAATAACGTCTTTAATATTAATTTAACTGCATCCTTAAAAACGATCCTCTTATTTAGTTAAGCAGCATATTAAAAGCATAGTAATTCTTTGTTAGTTTCATTTCATTAAAAAAAATTGAATAGTTATGTAACTCTTCATACGTATCAACATATTGTGTTGTATACCCAGAAACTCGTAGTGTTATAATCATCGACGTTTATTAATATATGTCTATCGTATGTCTATTACAAATTGTGAGATTCCCATAGATGACAATAATTGATTAATAATAATATGCACGTTTTTATCATGTGTCAATTCCATAGATAAAGCAACCGTCAAAGCCATTGAAGGGGGGGTTCAATGGTCAAAGCATTATGTCCCTTGTCTATGATTATGTCATTCACACGTCATACAACCCATAGCAATTTATAAATCACCATAAAATCTAGGGTAATGTGAACTTAAAAAATCGTAATTTTCATACAATAAAGTAGTACATAATAAAATATATTAGCCTCAAATCCGTTCATTAATAAAAAATGTATTTGGTATCGTATTCGTGTTTATGAAAGAAGTATTGTCAGGATGCCTTTAAGTTACTTCGAATTTTATTTAAAATCAAGAAAGGTGATTCTATTACAATATGTGTGGGTATAATGGTTATATGATTTGATGATATGATCACAAGTTTTTATAGGAACATTGGATACAATGTGGATTTAATTAGTAAAATACAAATTTATGAGGTAAGTGACATTTACCCTGTTCCTTACGAAATTCGCACTTGAATTTATAGACATGGAGTTAACCCCTGAAAATATAGAAAGGGCAGTAAGTCTTTTTTATCAGTCAGAAACTAGACAACAAGCAGAGGCCCATCAGTGGTTAACGGCAGCCCAAAACTCACCACAGGCATGGCAATTTGTGTGGAATTTATTAAGTTCAAAAAGAGTATGCTTATGTGCTTTGTTTTATGCATGTTTTTGCTTCTTATTTTTCCTTTTTATTTTAGAGTTCAGAAGTTCAGTTTTTTGCAGCAACAACTTTACATACCAAACTTTTAAGATATTGGTATGAAATTCCAGAAGACCAATATATTAGTCTCAGGAAAAGAATTTTAGAATCTATTGTTCAGTTTGCAAATGGACCTAAAATAGTTTTAAATCGTTTATGTATAACCGTAAGTGCTTGTTACATAATGGTATATAATATTTAACTTAGGTCAAAATATAACAATTTCTTTAGTTATCAGCATACATCATTCATACAATTCCTACTCATTGGCCCAATGCTTTTGAAGAATTGGTGTCTAGTTTTCAACCAAATTTCTTTCCGAATATTGAGCCTGAAAGAGTTATATGGATATTATTAGAAATATTGACCGTAATACCTGAAGAGGTACATCTTCTTTCTGTTATTATAACTGAAATATTAAGTAACATTTTTGGTAGTTTCAAAGTATGACATTAGCAACTAGTCAAAGAAACAGGGTGCGAACAGTTCTTCAGACAGTTTCAAGGGACATATTAAGAGTTGTTGAAATGTGTTTATCACCCTTAGCAGGGGCAGGGTTAGTTTTGAAACTATTATAAATTATTATAAATACAAACATTATCCTATTTCTTATTTATAATATTCTAATAATTGGTTCGTTAGGTTTCATATGGCCAATTTAATGACGTACTTGAATTCAGCAAGATGTGCTTCTGCTTGGGTTCAGTTAGGTGGTGTTACTATAGAAGATTGCACACATCTCATGGAATTACTGGTAGATTTGACTTGTTTTATTTACTGGTAAATCATTTTAGATTTTAATTTATTTTAATAATGTAAATAATTAGGTACCTCAATATTTCATTTCATAAGGTGTAGTGAAGATAGCGATGGAATGGCCTCTGAAGAAATGGATTTAATAGAAGTCACTTTAGAAGCACTTTCATCTATTATACTGCATCCTCAAACCTACAAATACAAATCGTATGTTAGCAGACATGCTACAAATTTTCTTCAGAATTTTAACAAGATTTTAGAAAAAGAACGACACAGTCCAAATTCAAATAAGGTAGTAACTTTTTTCAATATAAACTAGGTCTATCCCCCTATCAGTCACTGTGAGCTCGAAACTGTTAGCACCATTTCTTCAAGTTATCGAAATTCACTTTTGTGAACAATTTGTTTAATCACTTTCTTTGTGTTAAAAATTGTTTGAAAAATTAAATTTAAAGGAATTGTTTGCAAATAGGTATGCAGCACATCGTACACTTCATCATAAAAAATTGCTGATACTAACTACGTAATACTACTTTGTCCTGTGCTGACAGCACTCATAATTTCTTTTATATATAATATTTAGCATTTTTACATTTGTATTAAATTTAAGGATATAGTAGCTGGAATTTACGGGTTGATAGTGACATTGGCAGATACACATTCGAAACAGTTTATAGAGGACTTGAAAATAACAAATGCTAATGGACGAGAACTGTCGATTACATTGCTTGATTGCATTTTAAAATGCTCCGATCTACCTGGAATGTACCCTGTAGATGAATCTAGTAGTACTCTTACTTTTGGATTTTGGTTCACCTTGCAGGTAAATATTTACAAAAATTAATATGATTTGAGACTAAAATTATCATAATTTCCACTGTTATCCTAGTTGGTTCAACATGAAAAATTTGGAATATTAAAGAAATAAAACTATTTTGCTTTTTAATGTTTCAGTTTATTAGAGTTTCATTCAACAATTTTTTCAACTATTTACACTTGAAGCTTAAACAGTTCCAGAGTGAAACTCTAATAAACAAATATTGAAAAGCAAAAGCGGATTTTCAGTTAAGATTATTTTCTGAATTAATTCTGTTTGCCTTTTAACATGTCTCTTCAAGCATAGATAATCGGCATATTATCGGCAAGTTACTTGTTTATACGCGTATATCATATGTAAATATTACCAATATATATGTAAAAAATTAATAATTTTTAGGACGATGTACTTTCTCTAGATACAGCAGAACGTACAGAACTTCTTTTTATGATAAAACCTTACTATAGACAATTGGTAGTGATTTTATTAAGAAAATCGCAGTATCCGGGATCATGGGAAGAGTCGGGCTGGTCTCTGGATGACCAGGAGGTTTTCAGATGCTATCGACAGGATATAACTGACACTTTAATGTACTGTTACAATATATTGAATGTAGAAATGCTGGATATTTTAACTTTTCATTTAAACGAAGCGATTTGTTCGATTAGCAGTGAGAAGGACTGGACTCCGGTAGAAAGTTGTATACATGCATTTTCTGCGATAGCCGAATGTGTAGAATATGAAAACTTATACCTCCCCAAGCTCATAACCACCCTAAAATCTATTCCGTACCATATGCTTAACAGTAAAGTGTATGCAATGGCTCTCGAAACTATCGGTTTGTCCTTATTTAAAATGTTATTTTATAATATTTTTAAAATTACAAACAACTATTATTGTAGGAGCTTATTCTGAATGGATTTCGGAAAGGCCGGAACTTATTAGTAACATAATTCCATTAATTCTAATGGGTTTAAATGAATCAGAAGTTGCCGCAAATGCAACTATGGCTTTAAAAGACGTTACACAGAATTGTCAAAAATTTCTCTGTCCTTATGCTGAACAAATATTGCAAACATGTCAGGTGAACTGAGTTTATTTTTTTGTTATACTTATGGACTTTACTTATGGTAAACAAAATTTTATTGTGTGCATGTATTTATGTGTAGGTTGTTTTGCAAGGTGGTCAGCTAAAATTGTCAGAGCAAGTGAGGATAATGTACAGTATTGGAAAAATTATGAGCCTGCTTCCTGTGCCAAAACTAATGGAATACCTGAATCCCATGCTATCTCCGTCATTTCAAGAAATAGATATGCTTCTTAAAACAGACCAGATAGTATAGTTACTTTATTTTTAAATTTTCGTACTTTATACGACACATTAGTTGATGAAAGTAAAAGTAACAAGTAAAAGTTATTAAAATTAGAACAAAATGTGTACAGTGTCTGTTTGGGTATTTAAATAATTATGGTTTTCAAACTATCTCTTTGAACCCATGCACATACGTGTACGTGTATTTTTCACATCAATTCTTAATGAGGGGTACAATACTTATGTATCTTTAGTTCGGTGTTGTTATATCCAAATTAAGACAGTATTTGTTGACAGGATACCAGCGTGACTTGCTCGATTATTTCCAAGCTAAAGATAATCTCATCTCTCTTTTGCACCCTACATATAAAAGCCGAATCTTATCAGGAACAACCAATTCTTACTATAGTGAAACAAACGCTACCGTTGTACATGGAGGTAGCAGCTCGATATTGCAAGGATTCTGATGTAATGGAAGTGCTTAGTAGTCTGCTAAAGCACACAATTGTCACCCTAATGGACGACTGCAAACCGATTGTACCTGATATTTTAAATTTAATAAACGCTGCTTACATTCAACATCCACAAACGAGTCTACTTAACCTGGCAAAAACGGTAATTTTTCTATTTTACTTGTGCATATTTATCTTGCCTGTTTATGTCCATTTTTTTATTCTCATTTGTAAATGCACATATTGTTCCGCTTTGTTATATACCGTTGTTTTCCGCAGATATTAGTGATGTTTGCAAAGGATGAAGAATACAGGAACTCGATGAAGCGTTTATTAAGTGAAATAGTAAATACAACACTACAAATGTACTCCCAGTTGAGTTCCAATAACAGATTATCGGAGAAATCGGATGTCACGGATGGTTTCTTTGCGATGTTGACCCAAATCCTGAAAAAAGAACCTACTCTGATAACTGCCAATGAATCTATCGATTGTTCAGTTTTGTTTCAATATGGTAAAAATTGAATATTTATTGCAAATGTGATAATTACACATTTCGCTTTTATTTTAAGCTATTATTTGTTTGAGTGTACCTGAAACACAAACGCTGAAAGTGAGCACATCTTTCTTGGTAAATTTTATTTCACAAAGCAGAGAAAATGGCCATGCAGACGCTGTTTTACAAAGCGGCGAATTTTTGTTGACTAGAATATTTTTAAATTTAGGTAGGTTGTGTAAGAGGAAAAAATACAAATTATTCTTTGATAATAATCAAACTTGAAGGTGGCAGCGGACCAAGATCTTCAGTGGAAATATTAAGTGAAATCCTTTTAACGTTAAATAAAAAGTACTGTGATAATTTCTCGCGATGGTTGCACCAGCTTTTGTCTCAAAAGGATTTTCCTTCGCCTAGGCTTACTAATCAACACAAAGAACATTTTATTAAGATGGTACTAAAGTAAGTTATTTTCTTTGTAACTCGATCATATATAGAAAGTTTGATAAAATAAAACAAGTCTAAAAACACTTTATGACACTCCTCATTTTGTGAAACATTTTTTGAAACTTGTGTTTTATTTCTTCAAACAATTGAATACGTTCAAAAGTCGTTTTGAACTACATTTTTTTTTTAATTTAGAGAGAAGGCAAACAAAAGGCGCTTAGCAGATTGTGTAATGGAATTTACCCTGATATGTCGGGGAATCGTACAAGTAGAATAAAGTGAAGTTCCTTATTTGGTATATTTGTCGAGAAGCTCTCGTTTTCGTTTTTTTAATAAGGCTTGCTCTACATCCTGCTGACTTGGAACTGGAACGTGGGCAACAAACCTTTGTTGGATTCCCGTAATCTCTATTTTGTGATCTTGGCCAGTAGTAAACTAGTAAATAAAAATCATTAAAATCAGCTGTAAATATGTTTAAATTTGTCGTTTAGTTATTTGCAGGAATTCCTAAATAAAATAAAAATAAAAAATCGTTTTTTTATATATTAACATTAACGCCTTGGTATATTAAAAAAGTATTTTATAAAAACCTCATTATCTTCCTCCTCCTCCTCCACAATATAAATGTTTTTTTCTTGTTGGGAATCATCTGAATTCGTTTGTTCTCGTTTTTTCTTCCATTCTTCTACTGCCTTTGTAATTGCTATAAATAAAATAATATAAAAGTAAAGGAGCAATACAAAAACACGGCATTAGAAATAAAAAGTTGGTTTTATAGGATGACCATGTTTTTTTTTGTAGGAAAAAACTTTCTGTCATCTTATGACAACCGGTACCAAAATGATTCTGTACCTACAGCTATTAGCTAAAAACTGCTCACCTTAAAAATAAAATTAAATTTACTGTCCAAGAGTTTGCTGTTGTTTCCTAATTAACTGCTTATTACTATATATTGCTACAAACTATTTATTTGAACTTGAACAAGCTGTAAGCTCAATACAAGAATTATAAATATATATAATTAAAAAAGACAAGAATATCAATGTATAAAAGCAATTGTAGTAGGGCTCTTAAACATTGTGCAGTTTAATGTGTTAAGATGCATAACAACATATAATTAAGAACGAGCTAATAGCATAAAATTTAACGAATTACAAAATTTATATGAATATATTGTATTTTAAGTTAAAACAAAACCCAATTTGGAAATAATTGTTTAACTGTTGTGTATGTAATGTATCTAGTGAAAATAAATACTTTACATGCTTTTTCAGTAAAAAACTCCAGGGGCACTAAAATACCATCATCGTCGTCTCTGTAGCCATAATAGTCTGCATCTATATCTTTCATAAGTTCAGCTCTTGTTTTTCTAGGAGGCAGAGGTGGTTCTTGTTCAAAAAGTTCACGTACACCTAAAACAACTGTTAAACAATTTGCCTCTTCAAAATTAATTTCATGTCTTATACCCGGTAAATCTTTTGCAGCCCCAAAGTACTTATAACCTCTGTTTCCTGGAACTTCTTTTCCTTCATGATCTAGCATTTTTGGCCCAATTTCAGCATAATCAGGACCTCCAAGTTCCTTTATTTGAGCTTCCCAATGACGCTTTTCTCGCAACAGTTTGTTAATTTCGTCATTGAGGTCTCTTATTCGAAATTCACCCAAACCTGCATTTTGAATCTGAGCCACTTTCTTCGCTATTTCTCTTATCACTTGCATTCTCCATTTTTCACATGCATATAAACTTTTGCATTCTGATGCAAGATAAGGTCTCCTCTTCACTTTGTGTTTTTCATTTTCGCCTAATTGTGCGGCACGCCAACGTGCTAATGTTGTCCTAAAATTGATTAATCGTAAAAACATAAGTATACGTAGTACACATTAAATAAAAATAGTATACGAATAACGTTTTATTAACAGTACTTGCATCGCTTTTTCTGCATTCCGTGCCATAATAATATAGCAATTTATTTTGACTATTACTGATATTTTTAGGACAAACTTTAAGGTTAAGTATCGTTAAGCATAGATCGTTAAGTTTCGTTCATAGACAGTATCGCAGATATTATTTAAGCCATAGAATACTACTTCCAGCATAGATTTAGATAGTCCAGGATACACCATAGATTATGAGTATACCATAAACATACATTAATGGACGTGTCTTGCCGTATGTCGTAATAATTTCTTTCCTGGAAAAGTGAGGGAGATGGCGTATGGTTTCGGACTGGTGCTATCTCTTTCATAACACGTTTACGCACTATACTGAGAGAGATGGATATTGTCCGAAACTTCGTTCCATCTTTTTCTTTTGTTGTACCACAATTCTGACCGCTAAGGCATGTCCATTAGTAAACGTCGATGGAGTACACGTACTGTATTCAATTATGCATTGAGCATATTCCATAGAAAGTATACTCATAGATAAGTCTTTTACTTTTACTTTGTCCTCTCATCGTTAGATGTCACAAGATTTAGTACCACGCCAAGCGACTCATCTATGACCCACTAGCTCTGTGATTACCTTCGAAAGTTCAGTTTCTCATTTAACCGGTTTATCACACGAATACATAACTATTTCAAACTTTATAAACTTCTTAATAAAGAAAATTAATAACAAATGGAAAATATGCATTAAACGATTAAACATTGCAAACCTTTACAAACTCAAAACTAACAAATTTCGACAATACCTACTTGACAATTAAGAAATATTTATTAGTGTCATTAACTAGACAATTATTTTCCCATTATGATATTCCAAATTTAATGTATTGCGATACTTACCAGCTAAGACAATGCCTTTAATCTCGAAAAAGAAATTTCGTCCTCAGAGAGTGATCATTCCCAAAGGTCTTGTTGATCCTGAAGAAGTGACTATTTTAGAAATTCCACTATGCTTAAAAGACGAACCAGTTGTAATAGCTAGAAAAAAAAATTTCCATCCAAACGATCCACACTCGGAAGAGGGTAACGATAGAATTTCTTCAGCGTGCTCATCTCAGGTATGTACGTATGTATGTGAAAGCAATAAATGCATTCGTTACTTAATAAAGTCAATAAGGCAAGATTTGTGAGTTAGAAATGAACCGTAAAGCACAAATATTTATCAACTTAAGTATACCTAAAATTATGCTCTTTCCATTTATACGAAAAAATGTATGAGTTGAAGTAATTATTCCATTTAAATTCTCAGGTGTCTCTTCCTTTATCATACGATCAAAATAATCGCCCTAACTCGGCAAAACCTGGAAACTTAAGACCCGTAAGGATTTAAAAATTAATAGATTTTTATCACTAGTAAGCATAAAATGGTTTTTTTTTGTTGTTTCAGTCCTCTGTTTGTGGGAATTGCCCTAACCGAACGTCGACGCCTTTTTCTCCTTCCCTAAGTCCGTACGTAATTTAATATCAATCATGTAAATAAAAAATTACGCAATAAGTACATATAATGGGTGTTAAAAAATCATCACATTCGCTATATATTATTGGAAAGACCGCAAAATTCTAAAAAACAATTATTAAGCTTCAAAGTTTGATCAAAACAACAAATCAGCCAACACACACCACTGCAAGTTGCCAATCAGCGCATGTGTAAAAATGCTTTGAAACTTTTTTTTTAGAATTTTGCGCTCTTTCTGATGATAATATAATAACCTGTATAGTGCTGGAACTAGAAACCGGTACGAGCATCGGATATGTCTGAAATTAATAACCACGTATTCAAAAAGAAACATCCGGTAGAAGTTTAATTAATTCTGTTTGAGTCTGCTCCGTTCCCTTCCTTACTTAACAACTTCGCTTAAGTAATTAAGTAGAACTTAACACACTGTCAATTAATTTTTTTGCATCATCAACAGAGAACAACTTCAGACTATGGAAAAAGAAGAGTGTGCTGCATTATTAAATGATCTTAATCAGTTTCAACAGGCACGCAGAAATTTAATTTTACATACAACGTCGTTTGCTAGTCATCCTACTTCGAGTTCGTTTATTAATAATAATAATAATAATAAAATAAGTTCCTAAATATAATTTATGTACCGGTTCAGTTTTTCAATAAATACCTACAAAAATAAGTTTTTTATTCAGGTTCAAAAGCTAATGTGAATAATAATTTACTATTAATACGTAGTAAAAAGTTACAGATAAAATTGTAATAGTGTGGCGAACCAAAAGCCAAACAGCGAAACAGCACATTTATATTTTATTTAATAGCTTCGCCTTTGATCGAGTAGGATATAAATGTAGTTTTTTCTTAAAACTTGGAATATTTTTTATAAAATAGCTCTCGTTCTTTTTCTCCTTTCTACAATCCTCTAACGTTCCGAGATAACGCAACGAATACTTTTGGGAAGCATTTTTCGCATCCACTTAAACATAGTAATTAATTTATAAAATTAATAAAACACATGTAATTAGTTATTATCCAACGTTACCTTGAACAATGCCTTCCTCAAATGTATTTTCATCGGAATTCTCAACATTTGTTTGACCCACAATCTAAAATTCAATAAGACAGATACCGACAATGCAAAAATGCAAATTAATTTTCACGTACCTGCATACTAATTTTCCTGTAATTAACATGATTTCCATACTGATTTATGTTGTCCCAAAATTTTCGTATTTCTGATACCTTGAGGTTTTGTATTTCATTTATTTCTTTTTGAACCCGATCAAAAATGTACTCGCTTGTGACAATCTCTGCCCAGTTTCTTTCTACTTCGTCTTCCAAGTCAATATCGACGCAATTTTTTATTTTAATCAAGTCCTTTTTTATTTCAAACATTTTTTTATTGCTCAAAGTCTTTAGAAGTTTGTGAACGTGCTTAATAAAATGTTCAATTCTTTGGTCCACATGCTCCGTTGAATATTTATTGACTTGAGCATTAACTGTTATCGAATAGCCGAGTATTCCACAGGTGTCACGAACTGTACAATAAACATTGTAGCCTAATTGTTCCTTTGTTCTAAGTATATCGAACAATGGTTCCTCAATCATGTGCTTAAAATAAAGAAATATATTTTAAAATTATAAGCATTTTTTAAAAATTAAAATATTTACCATTATAAATTCCATCGTTACACAATTTTTTATGGTGAGTAAACCTAGTTGATAATAATTCGTTATTATAGAATTCGCATCGTTCTTGTTAAACGATAACACTCTACAACAATGTTCACCCAAAGGTATTTGAGTGACTTCTACCTGAAATGAAGATACCGTTCAGAGATAATCTACAAGTACGTACAAATTAAAATTTGATATCTTTTACAATTATACATACTAATTTGTTACAAATTACACCAGCAATATTTTTCAATACTTATATAATAACTTATAACTTATTTCAAAATGTCTCACCAAGAACTGACGGCCTCTACTTTTCCTAAATAAACTTATAACCATTAACCTTTAATTTCCTTTCCTTTTTGTTTTTTAATAACTTACCGCAAGTTCGGTGTTAGAATCAAGTGGACCACATTCGACAGTTTTAATAAAATTCATCACTACATCGGTAACCACATTCTCACTTACATTGCCCTGAACTAAGCACTGAATATACATTTTTTTGAATAGTTTTCTTGCAAAATCTGTAACCATATCAGTCGTAATATTCACGACAGCATCATGTTTTTCGAGGAGGGAGAAATATTTGTTTTGCAAGATGGATAAACGTAAATCTTTTGCTAACTTGGATGGCTTTATGAACTGATTGTAGTATTTTTTCATCTCCTTATCTTTTACCGCCACAAACATTTCTTCAGTAATTGTATTGGGCAAGTTCCTAATATAATTTCCAATAATGTCGATTAATACTGGCAACTTTTCATCGTAGCCAGTCACTTTCATTATTATTCCCTTTTCAAATGGTTCAAAAGAGTACGATAGTTCGGCAAGAGTTGCGGGATAGCATTCTTCGGCTAATTCGATCACCAAAAAATCAACATACATATCTAATAAGCAGGAATTTTGAGCGTTATCCATGGCTAATGGAGTTATCAAATAAAAATAATAATACGCCAAAGGAAGTCCGAATTTTTGATCTCTACGGTACCACAACTCTAACACAGAATTCTGAATTATTTTTTGTGGATATTTGGGATGGTTTTCCGCTTTCGGCAAAAGTGAGAAGTTTTCTGTTAAAAATTTATTTTTTTCAGGCAAATGAAATTCAGGATAAGGTTTTATGTCTTCCAATTTTTTTATCATTTCCGATGATATTTCTGCAAAATGACAATACTGTATTAAATTATATACTCACATACAATGTATATATACAATATTTGCAGGTAGGGAGAGTGCTGTACCTACCTTTGTCTGTATATTCAGTACCAAACCATTTCTCTTTTTTATCAAACGTTTTATCGGAAGGAAGATTGTGAGAGAAAAGCATAATATTCATTTTATTAGGACTCATTTGATTTAATATCATCATAATGGCCTAAAATATAGTTCAAAAATTTCGACAGCACAATTTATGTATGTGTTCTTACTTCTGGATTATATTCAAAATAGAGGTCGGATCCGGTTAAGTAATCTTTAGGAGGATAAAACTGCATGCATTCTGATATTTCCTCAACATTATCAACCGCAGATTCTTCTTCGCTTAACTGAAACGAAGTTGATTCGATTCTCTGTATTTCCTTAAATATCCACTTTTGAGGCCCCTCTCTTTTCAACAAACTTATATAAGAAAAAATCGCCTCGATAACCTTTAATCAAAATCCTCACTACACTACCGATGATTATTCAATAATCATTAATCCTACACCGATTCACTTACTTGATGTGCTTTTTCACATCCTTGTTTTGTCAGAACAACTGTTATTGTAAACAGAGTAAACATTGAATTGTGTTCACAACCAGACTCACCATTACCAGCATAAACTGATAAGGCTAAAACCCTTAAATTGAGATGTAAATAATTATACTAAAAATTTTAGTGTATTTGCTTAAATATTTGTTGAAATGCAAGTTTAAAATGGACAAAATTTACATTAATAAAGCACACTTACTTTTTTCTTAGGTATGACAAAAGACTACCTTTGCCTTCATGACCAAGTAACCATGAAATGTAGTGGTGGGGTTTACAACGGTATTGATCTAGTAAAGAAGGAAGAGCCCATGTCACTTCTAACTAATGAAAAAATTGTCAACTTCATACATGATCACTTAATTAATAATTACAATTGGCATACATTACAAATGTCTTTCATTGGCTTCACAAAATAAAACTTATTGAATTTATCAGTTTCAAAGCAGTGCCTAAACTTTTTAAAGTCAAAAGAAGGTAGTTCATTATTGGGAACTGATGAAAAACAACTAATTACATTATCTTGAAGCACATCCAATGATATCTTGCCCTACAAAGCATAGAAATAAATTGAAAAGAGCAATAAAATGCAAATATTATTTTTATTACTTGTACAGCCACAGTCATTCTATGGGCTGAATAATGCCTTTGTCTAAACTCATGTAAAGCATCATATAATTTATCTTCGTCTACATTTGCCTTGAGAGTAATTAAATTTCCCCAGGAGAAAGAGTTAATGGGAGAATCTACTGTGGCAAAACTTGCTAACAACTGATCTTTTCGAAACTCATCAGAAGGAAGTGCCATCTGAAATTCTGAAATACAGTATAAATAATTGTTAACAATTGTTCCTTTACTTGCCTGATTCAACAGCCTCTCTTTCTCGAGTCATAGATTCCCTTTTCATTAAAGGAGCAATAAAAAACTGAGCAAATTTATCTAGGGCTTTGAACAAATGCTTTTCAAAACACTCAAAATAAAATGTTGTTGTTTCGCAGTCTGTAGAACCATTGTCTGATCCTCCATGTTTCTTAAATTTTGAAAATGTATTTTGTGATAAAACTAGTGTTGATGTTATACCTTAATGAATGCATCAAAATCATTTTCTTGAGGAAATTTTTTACTACCCATAAATACCATGTGCTCTACAAAGTGAGCTAATCCTTGAATTTCTTTAGGATCGCTAAAGCTTCCTACACCGACACATAATGCTGCAGCAGCCTATAATAAACATTTTAATAAAAATTGGTATCTCGAAAATTTCGCTACCATTTTTTCTTCTCCATGGCCTCTCTTTTTATCATGCTTCTTTCCACTTCTATAATTTCGATCATCTTCATCTTCCTCCCCACTAACCAGTAAGTTTTCCAAATCGGAATCTTCATCTTCCTCCTCCTCAGTATTTTCTTCTTCAGTTTCTGTTTCACTATCTGTTTGAAAATCATTAATTTCCTCCGTCAAATCTGATATTAGACACGCTGTTAAGCCATTTGACAAACGAATAACTCTAAATGTGAAAACTTCTAAGTGCTTTCAATGTGATCACTTTAGTATTTATTACCTGTATGTCTTCTTATCGCTAGCACTTTTTAATGGGGAGTCTAGAATTCTAACAACTTCACTGGAAATTGGCATCTTTATCCTACGAAAACTGACTGGTTTGGACGGTTTAGATGCAGACGAACTTGGATGTTTCTGATTCATTATTGCTAAATGAAAACATTTCCTTATATTTACAATACTATTTCCATTATTCCACCATGTTCTAGTACAATATTTGTTGAATTTAGGAAGGCAAAATATTACCATCAAATTTCATCATTTAATTTTGAAGGTTAGAACCATACATAATAGGTTAGTACCATAGATTAAAGAAAACTAAAAAACCATAGTTAGAAGCATAGATAGTTAGAACAGAACTATAGACTCTATATCTATGCACAGAACACACAATAGAGTACGTTCCACTCTCCACTCCACTACGCTCATAATATAATTGAAAATTCCATTCCATTCAGTACGTTAATTGAATCTTTTCATGTTTCTAATTTGTTTATGAGCGCCTAGTGGAATGTACCTATAACATGATGTATGTTAACTATAGATAAGAAGTTAACCTTCAGCTATTATCATAGATAATTTTATTATTAACATCTATGATTATTAATTATAATCAATTTTAATAAATTAAATTAATAACATAGCTGGTGATAAACTCAGTTTATTTAAAATAATGATAACATGAGAATCAAGATATTAACCAGATTATTTTTATCAAATTGTAAATGCGTTCATAATAGCTAACATCAGCGAAACAAAAATGCCTGAAAAAGTTAGCTTACTTAATAAATACATTACAATTTTTTTAGTTGTGTCTGGTTATTGGTTAGTCATTTTATATTTGGCATTATCTTATTTATTGATTACTACTAAATTGTTTTCAGGATTATATCTATTTTAACAGTGTTTGTTAATAAAGCACTTTTAAGTAGCATTGAATTGGAAGCACCAATGTTTATCGCTTTATTCCAAACAATGATGTCTGTTTTTGTATGTTACTGTATGAAATTGCTAAGCAAAGTCTTTCCATCATATTGCAATTTTCCGGACTCAAGTCCTTTCAAGAAAGAGACTTTGAAGGAGGTATTTTTTCCAATTCTTATGAATTAAAAGTAATGTTTGTAGAAACTAACTTAAAAAGTAATTTTAGGTTTTTCCAGTTTCTGTGTTGTTTACCATGATGATTGCAATGAATAATTTATGCTTAAAATACGTTTCTGTAACATTTTACTACATAGGTAGATCGTTGACTACAATATTTAATGTTGCCTTCACTTATCTAATTTTGGGCGAAAAGACATCTGGTAAATGTCTCTTCTTCTGTGCAGTCATTATTCTTGGGTTTTATTTAGGAGTTGATCAAGAAAGTCTTGCAGGCATGTATTGTATTTTATATTTACATCACAAAGATATTGATTAAAGTAATTCTAGGAAGTTTATCTATTAGTGGTACAATATATGGAGTTTTAGCATCTCTTTCGCTCTCCCTGTATTCAATTTTTACGAAAAGGGCATTACCATCATTAAAACAGGAAGTTTGGTTGTTGTCTTATTATAATAACGTGTATTCAAGTTTTCTGTTTGTTCTTTTAATGCTTACAAATGGAGAACTTTCCAATGTCTTAGAGTATAAACGACTTTATGATTACACGTTTTGGTTTATAATGATAATGGGGGGCATCTGTGGTTTCTCAGTTGGATTTTTTACTTCCCTTCAAATAAAAGTAAATCACATACATCATAATTTTATAATTTTATCTATATTGTTTTTATTTTTACTCCAGTATACATCTGCCCTAACTCACAACATTTCGGGAACGGCGAAGGCGTGTGCTCAAACTGTACTTGCCACTTACTGGTATCAAGAAAGCAAATCACTTTTGTGGTGGTTTTCTAACTCAGTTGTACTGCTAGGAAGTGCAGGGTATGCCAGAGCAAAACAAGTGGAAATGGAAAGGAAGCACAAAGAGTCCCTAAATTATGAAAAACTTGGCAGTTAATTGTTTTGCTGTTCATTTTAAGAAATAAACGATTTTTGCAGTTATCTACTTAAAGTAATTCCTATTAAGAAAAGAATAAAAGTGTCTTAATTCAATATTCTGTAAAGAAATATTGATGTATTTTTGAATTTATTGTGTGTATTGTACGTTCATTTAATTCCCGCACCTCGCTAGTAAGAAAAGTTCAAAATCCTCGCAGCAAATAAATGACCTCGGTCATACAACGTCACAGAAATAAATCAATATGAGTCGCTTTATTTGTGCATTCAATTTTGATATTTGTATACTGCAAAGTTTGAACAATTTATTAACTAACAGAAACCTGGTAAATCGTGTTATTATTGTGTTTATTATCAGCAGATAACACCAAAAAAGCATACTGAACGTAACAAAAAAATGCTAATAATGTAGGTAGCAGGTATTTCTTATTTTATAATTTAAAAAAAAAATTGGGTGAAGTAAAGACGGCTCACTTCCAAAATAATTATTTGTTTTCTTCTGAGAGTAAATACGGTTTCAACGCCGCCGGCGTGGGTTAACTAATTAATAAGTATTTTATTTGAAGTCTGCCCATTATGCAAAAACAGAAGTACGAGAGTGAAGTGCGCGAATGATGCGCGGCTACGGCGCAGCTAGTAGCTATGTCGGGTGTGCTGTCGCTTTCTCTAATATTTTTTCTTATATTTCAATAAAAGATTCAAAAAAACCGAAACGTCGTTGCCTATTTTCGTCAATTTATATTTTAACTCAACATCACCATCGGTGAAAGTCTCTCTTTAACTGAACACCAACGTCTGAGTGATTAGTAAAGTAAGTGAAATAAATGAATTATTAATGATCGTCATTTTATATTGTCAATAGTGGTGCTAAAATAAAAGCACAAAAGTTATTACTTTCATAATTACATGTCTCCTGTTTTTTCGAATTTTAGAAAAACAATCATGGCAGATTAGCTTGTCGTTACATCTAATTGCATGATGTAAAAGCACTATTTGCCTTAACACATTTACTTATTATTGTACTGTTTGTCTTAATAATTCAAATTAGCTTTCTTAAAAAATATTTCGTATGTAGACACAAAGTGATTTGTTTTTGCTGCTTTTGTTTTGTTGACATTTTTACTATGACAATATTTAATTTCCGTTTCAATAAGATAATTGGCGTGCTAACAAAAAAAGTATTTTGTCAAGTAGTAATAAGACCCAACTCTTTTGACGCAACTATTTATAAATGTTATAAGATTCGTGGTAGGTACAAAGAGTAAGTAACAATTTATAATTATACTTTTAAAGCATAACTTCATAACTGAAACATTCGCATTTCCTGAAGTTGAATAATAATAAAATTAAAACAATAACTTCTTTATCATTTCATTACTCTTTCAAACATACTTATATGTATACATATGTATGTATAAACAACGCACGCCACCAAAACTAAATTTAGGTCTTATATTATGTTATAAATGTATAAAACTATGAAATTTTGCATATAACGAATGAATTTTAATTACTACCAATACATTATACCTTTAAAAAAATATCAATGAATTTGCATTAAATGGGTTGGTTCGATACTTCACTTTGTCGCTCAACATTATGAACGTTTAGGCAACAGAAAGAACACGCATGATAAACGAAAAGTGACAATTGCCTACGTTGAGATATGTACGAAATAAAGCAGACATCAAGTCGCACATATATTTTAGTATACGAGAAAAATGAACAAAATTATTCACCTGCTGAAAAAAGGAAATGCGAGCCTAACATCGAACTTGTAAAATATGAATAAACAATTGATTGTATAAGCTGTTACTTGTTAAAACTTATCCATAAGGAAAGTGAGTTTCAAGAAAATTTATTTATTAAAATATAAACATCCGAATGTTTTGTTTCAGAGGGCGAAGATGAGGAATTGCTTAGCGTTTTGAAGAGTAGTTATTATTTATGTTTAGTTAGTATATAAAAAGAAATAGAAAAGGACGAAATACCCAAATAAACATTCTCCTGGCTTTCCAACAACGATTAGTAGGATGAAGAAGGTTGGAGAGTAGCGGTGATGGGTTTTGGGCATGGATAATGAACAGCCTCATCAGGAGCTGGTTAAGTGCGTGGTGGTCGGCGATACAGCTGTCGGAAAAACTCGTTTAATTTGTGCAAGGGCTTGTAATCAACAAGTTTCTCTTGCGCGGCTACTTGCTACCCATGTACCGACTGTATGGGCAATTGACCAGTACCGTATTTATAAGGATGTAAGTCAAGTATAAGACGTATAATAAATAAACTTACTTGTAGATTATTTTTTGTTGTTGTAGGTTTTAGAACGTTCTTGGGATGTGGTGGACAGTGTAAATGTTTCGTTACGTCTCTGGGACACATTCGGGGATCACGAAAAAGACCGCAGATTTGCATACGGCCGTTCCGATGTCGTTCTACTTTGTTTCAGCATCAACAATCCTGTCTCCTTGCGCAACTGTCGTTTGATGTGGTACCCAGAGATACGACGTTTCTGTCCGAACACGCCAGTTCTATTGGTAGGTTGTAAAAATGATTTACGATTTATGTACCGGGACGAAGCATACTTGAGCTTCTTTCGCGATCGTAGCCCGTTTGTGAGGGCGACGCGCAAAAGTGACCTTGTCATGCCCGACGAGGCCCGTGACGTAGCCCGGGAACTGGGCCTTTACTATTATGAAACGTCCGTCCTAACTTATTACGGCGTTAACGAAGTCTTCGAGAACGCCATCCGAGCCGCACTTATTGCCCGAAGGCAGCAACGTTTCTGGCAAACTAATCTTAAGAAGGTTTGTTGTTGTATTATTGAATTAACCTTATATATCCATTGTTAAATTATTATTTAGGTTCAGCGGCCGTTACTACAAGCGCCGTTTAAACCTCCTCCACCACCAAAACCTGAAATAAAAGTGGGTGACAGCGATTACGGGGATCATCTTCGATACCTATGGATCAATCGCTCTCACACAGATCTCGTTCTCGTTGCGGGTTCGGTAAGTATTATATAACAGCAACATGTAAAGGTTTAACATGTAAATTAAACTATTTCAGGTAGGTTTTCCTGTTCATCGGTTCGTAGTTGCCTCGGCAAGTCCAGCATTTTATCGACTCCTGGCGCTGGAACTTAATGCTGACATAACTCGTAGTACCAGCGATTCTAGTATGGTTAGCTCTTTGGGCGACTTCAGTGATGACACAGAAAGTCTTATAAGGGCTGAACAACGTATATGGAAACGAAGAGCTAGCTGTCAGACATTGCCTCCAGGAAGAGATCTGAACCATCCCGCATTTCAGTCCATCCGCAGTATTCAGTCTGAAGGACAGACGGTGGTAACCCTTGGGAAAATGATTACTCCGATTGCTATGAAACAATGCTTACAATTCATGTACACAGGCATGATTGATCAACGACAAGTCGATTTTCAGGTAGGACAAAATCTTTTATTCTGATTCGTGTGTCGTATTATTGTGTATATTTCGAAATTTATTATTTAGGAAATCCGGCACGCAGCTGAGTTCTTAGAAATCAGTCAATTATGCGATTTATTGGTAGATCTGCAACAAGGTAATGCAGGGGCGTCTGCCAGACAGATTCACGAGTCATGTCTGAAACGAAAATTCCAGGACGTCTGTCTCGATCAAAATCTTTTTGCTGACATCGTTTTTGAACTAGACGACGGTGCTTGTGCAGCTCACAAATCTATGCTCGCTGCTCGTTGCGATGTGATGAAGGCAATGTTCAGCGGCGACTTTCGAGAAAGTCAAGCCAAAGTGGTAACTACTTTCTTATTTCTATCTGAACTAACAAAAGGTTATAGTTTTTTCCATGATTCGCTCTGAAAGGAAAATGAATGTAATCGATGTTACTGTTGTGTTTTAGATTGAATTTCCTGGTGTCAGAGAATACACATTTCATAAGTTGCTCTGTTATATGTACACCGACGACATTCCACCCGTTTCTGCTTCAAGATGTGTTAATCTTTTGGAGCTTGCTAATCGGTTATGCCTACTTCGTCTGGTTAATTTGGTCGAAAAACGTGTCATAGAAGACTTAGAGCACATGCAGAATAACGAAACCATCGAACAATGTCTTCGACTTTTGGAACCGGTTAAGGTAAGTAGTTGTATCCGATTAAAGTCTCCTTTTGGAACCACTAAAATAAGCATTAAAAATTGTTTGTATTTTTAATAAAACAACATTGATACCATTTTCATTGCATATACCAGTTACATAATGCTCATCAACTCGCCGACTGGTGCATGAACCATCTTTGCGTAAATTATAACAAGTTGTGTAAGATGTCGCCGCGGAGTTTGCGTCTTCTGCACCCTGATAATCAGGCGTACCTGGTGGAGCACCGTTGGCCTCCAGTTTGGTACCTCAAAGACTATGACTATTATCAAAAGTGCATGGTGGAACGAGAAAGAGAAAACAGACACACCCTAAAATCCAACTCAGGCTGTTTATGTTTTTCGCGGAAAGCAGAGTCCGATCCTGCGCTCGCGGGCCATTTTTAAGCACTTCATTTGTGGCATTCAACCAATTCCTATTCAGTTAATTTAAACACCTAGATGTACAGAGTGTAGTGAAATTATAAACACTAGAACCATGTTTAGCTCCCTTTCACTGTTAATTCTTTTTTTTTTATTAGTATTATCAAAATTATTAACAGATTATCAAATAAAAACTTATTCAATTATCTACACTCTGTATTGGTAAAACTGCCAGCCAAGCAACAAACTTGGTACAGGAAGGAAACAGTTTCCGGCCTCTTTTATTAGCAGTATACATAGTGGCAATTTTGATACACTTACACTAGTTCCCAGTGGCCTGAAACTGTTCTGGAGATAATATTTTCTATATAAGCGCACACAATTTCGGCTAAAATAAAATATCTAATTGTCCAAAGGAAAAAATGTAAAGTTTGGGTATTACTGTAGAAAAATAAAATCAACTTTTGAATGTCCAATTACATTCCTTCTTTTTGCACTGCAATCTCATAGACCAAAGAAACGATAAATCGAACAAGAGCTGTACAATGTTTACTAGTTAGTCAATTTTCTTCGAATAATAATTATTATCAAACATGTACAGTTAATAAATTACGATTACCTTTCTGCCAGATATTTGTGAAGATTATCTCCTAAAAATCCAACAATTTGCTTGTAGTAGTGTACATGTTATCAATATCGTGAAATATTAATTGTAACTTATTTCGTTAGTATTATCGAATTGTATTTATAAAATCGTTTCTTGTGTCTTTTATACATAATATTATAGATTCGTGAGTGACTATCGTGAGTAAAAAAAATTGCTGCCACATCATCTAAATGCCTAGAAACTGTTAATGCAAATCATATAGATACCAAAAAAAGCAATATTAAAGTTTCTTTTTCCATACACAATTTTAATACCAATATTAAGAAAGCATGTCTAAATGCAACTATGTTGTTCTCTTTTTATCTATATGTTGAAGAAAAATGTAGTATATTATTTTCATTGATACTTATTTTGATGGCAAATGTTTTGTAGTGTTTTATAATACATATTAGAAACCCAAAAATTAACATTAAATGTTTTCTCTATATTTAAACGTTTTATTGAAGTAATTCATACCCTAACGCACAGATGTTGCTTAAACTTGTTTTAATAAAAACTTTTCTAATGAAGTTTCAGAAAAATACTTCTACTACTACTACTACTACTCTAATTGTAAAGCAAGATTCTTAATTTCACTTTTACATTCATCAAAAGCATCCTTATAATCATCTTTTTCTCTTATTAATACCATTAAACAACCACGTTTTGTCCCCAGTGCATTTCCCAGATCATACCTGGATGGAACATAACAATAAGGAATTTCTTTATCCTCACAAACACCCGGAATATGTATCATTATTTCCACAGGAGAAACATCGCCGGCAAAAATTACTAATCCTCTCTCACCTCTCCGTATTCTAGACTGGACGTCTTTTAATCCATTCCTTATGTATGTTTTGTGTTTTAACGCTACAATTACACAACAATCAAGCATATTGTAAAATAGGAAAATTGAGAAACACATCATTTCACCTTTTTTTATTAATTTAAATATTTTCTTTGCAAGTTTCTTGGATGCCATGGGTTTTGCTATGACATTAACGTACTTCAACTTTTCTTCGTAGGACAATTCAGTATCCTCTGTTTGTACTGTCAAATTATTTATATCTGCGTCAATATCACCCGCAACTTCATTATGTTTGATTTTTCCCATTTTTTTTCATTTAACAAAAATCAATTAAAGCCTCTTCGTAACCAGCACGTGTCGTAAACCAACAACAATCTTCGTGGTTATGGTGCATAGACATGTGCATAGATTAAAGATGATTAAAGATATATATATATACAGTTTGTAATCTATGGTTATGGAGGTTGGTATGATGTTGGAGTAATCATAGGGAGTACTATAAGTGTCCCAAAAATTTGGATAAAATAGTAAGGCGCTGTAATCACTATGTTGGCTTAATTCAACACATCGACCTTTACTAGGGACATGCCTTAGCGGTCAGAATTGTGGTACAACACAAAAAAGAGAAGGAATGAAGTTTCGGACAATATCCATCTCCTTCACAATAGTTCGTAAGCGTATAATGAAAGAGATAACACTAGTCGGAAACCATATGCCATCTCCCTCACTCTTCGAGCCAAGAAATTATTACAACGACATACGGCTGAGGCACGTCCATTAATATATGTCTTCTATAGGAGCATGATTGTAGTTTACCATTCGATGTCAGCGCTCCCTACAATTTCTACAAATTTATGGTATTAGTGAACTAATGTATGAAACTTATCTATCAAACACGAGTATAGATACAAGACTATCAAATGTCGTTTAGTCTCCTGTACCGTTACTAAAACATTAATTTATTGTGCCTTACTGTTATTATATCTATTTCAAATAAAAATACAAAAATTTAAAATATTTGCAGTAACGTCATTAATCTTAATTCATGAACTTGGTAAAAGCATTATCTATGATCAGAGTCCATAGATAAGAGTCAAAAGCCCTAGCCGGCAAAATAAAACCACCAGACATTCCAATGTCATGAACTATTTTTATTCTGAAAAAAGAATGGCGAGTTATAGACATTTTTTACGTCAAAAATGCTACTAATTTGCCCCAAATCTGGTTGATTACTGATCTTTTGTGTGCATAAATAACGTTAAATTAAAGTTAAATAGTGAAATAAATGTTGTGTGAGTTTGTTGTAAGTTAACTAACGTTATTTGTGAAAATTTCAAGAAATTAAAAGGTAAGAATGCAGTAGAAACAACTTTCTTAATTTTTATTTTTCGAATTGAAAAATGCTACTCTAAATAAAATAATAGCAAGTGCAATTTGCGCTGTACTCTGTATTCACATCATTTAAAAAATATTTCTTATACATATATTAGCGTCCACTTGGTATAAATACGTGTGCGCTAGAATAAATGTATTTTTGTGTGTATAATTCTGTTTCATACGTACGATATATGTAGCTATCTACAGTACAGATTATTTAATTTAAAGTTATACACGTTATTAACAGAGAATCAGTTCAATAGAGCGGTTAAAAAATGCTCACGAACTTTCAGCTATGTCGTTTTATTGTTCCTAATCAGTTTAATGTCCTCAAATTCATATAATATATTAATGTAGTGGCTAATGGCGCTCCGCCCACACACAGAGAAAAGAATCAGTGAAAATATTTTTCCTGCAATTACAAGTAACCATGGCATTTAAATTTAAGAGAGAGAGATTGTGTGTGAGTTTTAATATTATCACCAGAAGTTTTTAAGATGGTTTAAAATTATTAGTTTTTACCTTTTTTAATTATATGTAGGATGGTGAAAACAGATATTATTTATTTATTAATAAGGCAGTTTTCAGAAGCCTGCAGAAATATAAAAACACCTGTGTGCAGGGAACTGATATCTTAAAATTAAAAGTAGTAAAAAACACTGTATTGTCCTATAAAATTGAAAATAAAGTGTTCCTGACATTAATGAGTTAATATTTTACCTAACTTATCTTTTCTTTTACTTGATTAAATTGTTGTGTATTTGTAAAAGTGTGAGTTTTTGTTTATTCTTAAAAGTAATAAAAGTATAAATGGAATGTTTGGAACAAATGAGAATTAAAAGTGGTCTTTTACTTTTTTAGAAAAATGGTAGTATCAGGGGAACCAAACATTAACAACATTATGGGAGGGATTGAAAATACAGGAGGGGTTAGGCTACATAATCACAAAAAAAAATTAAAGCAGCGGTAAGTATAAAGAGTGAAAACTTTAAAATGTCTGAGGCTGTACTTGGAAGGAA